CAATGCTGAAATTCCGCGCCAATCAGAACAGCCAGTTCCGGTCCCTGCACTTTGCTTTGTATTTTTCCCGCCAGTACTCCACTTTGGTTCCACCTTTTTCGTGACGTATCTCGTCATGACGCCTTGTGGACCAATAAGCGGGACGGAAAAGTCAGTGAGGGAGGGGTCTGAATTCAGCGCGAGGCTGGGCTAGAGGTTTTGCCGCGAAAGCCAGTGCGCGTGTTGCAGCGGGGAGGTCACTGTTGCTTCTGACCTACAGAACGTTATAGCAGTATTTAAATTGAACATTGACAGCACTTATTTAAGTAATACCTTATTGAGCGTTTATTGCAAGGAATCTGCATATTAACAGCATGTCGGGATTTGATGATCCAGGAGTTTATTACAGTGACAGTTTTGGAGGAGGTGAAGGCATCGGCGATGAGGGGGTCGTGAAACGCAGCCAGATCAAAAAAAAGTTTCGAGAGTTTTTGAGACAATTCAGAGTCGGCACCGATCGCACTGGATTCACCTACAAATACAGGTACTGTGATATCAGATGTATTTCCATGCTTTTTTTTTTGGTGGTTCTTTTTGCACAGTGACAGAATACGTTTTGCACAACGTGTAAGTTACCTATAGTTGGTCTATTAATCGTTGGCTATCATTTCGTTATGTCATTGTTATATCCGATCAATATTGTTTTTCATTTAGCCCGTGTTAAATTTGTTGCAGATTCGCCTTTAACTTGTGTCCGGTTCGTGAACGCATTGTTCTTTTGAATGATTCAGTTGAATCGATTCATTACGCGTTGGGTTTTTATCACGTATTTGCTGGGGTACATCATATTAAATATGTTATGTGCAAATATTAAACTACAAACAAAAAAAATTCTGAGAGCAAATGACTGATGGCGCTAGCGAAGCGGGGAATCGTTTTTGAGTCGGTTCAATACGAATCTGTTCGAAAGAACCGATTCACTTTTAAACGAATGATTTCCCAACTCCCATTTTCACTAATACAATGTACCTTATTAAACAGAGTTTGACATCTTCATCTGTTTATATTGTTTTAGTACTTTAGGACACTGTTAACGGTGTTTTTCGTTTTCAGAGATGAACTCAAGAGGCACTATACTTTGGGAGAGTACTGGATTGAGGTGGAGATGGAGGATTTGGCCAGTTTTGATGAGGATCTGTCAGACTGTCTGTACAAACTGCCCACTGAGAACTTGCCTTTGGTAAGGACAGACTTACAAAAATAACTTTTCATATAAATATTGGAAGTCTTACTGAAGTTGAGTTGGATTTGTTTACGGCATACATAAGTAATTACTTATGGTAATTATATAATTATCTTTTGTTATATTTATTTTAAACTAAGAAATATAATGTTTTTACACAATGTAATACTCTATTTTCAGATGATTACAGACTAATTTATTATCAAGTTTTTATGACTTTCCAAGATGCTGTATTTATGAAATGCTCAGTGCCTTTTGAACATCAGCTGATAATTAGATTTGACATTGATTGATTGACAGCTGGAGGAGGCAGCGCAGGAAGTGGCTGATGAGGTCACACGTCCGCGGCCAGTAGGAGACGAGACTGTACAGGACATACAGGTCATGCTGAAGAGCGACGCCCACCCGGCCTCCATCCGTAACCTGAAAGTGAGGAAATAAACTATTAAAGGGGTCATATGATGCGATTTCAAGTTTTCCTTT